GTTGATATGAGGGGCGCTGACAAAGTTCGGTTCCTTAATGCCCCTGTGTCCCAGACCGGCCTCTTCAGTGACGCGGTCGAGAGCTTTGCCCAGCAGTTCTCGGCTGCACAGAAGCAGACTGAGGCGATTTGACACATCCTGCCCCGGCGGGCAGCTGCTGCCTCCACCCACAGCGCCCCAGCATGCTCGTCGCCGAGGGCGGCCCCCTGCGTCCGCCCCCACTCCCTCGCAGCATCCGCAGCAGCCTCCACCCAAGCAGCGCCGTGGAGCCGGGCGTAGGCAGGCCAACCAGCCCATCCAGGCTCCCGCCAAACCTGGCGGCAAGTGGAAGAGCAGGCGGCCCTGAGACGGGTGACCCAGAGATGGAGGGATCTGCTTTTTGGGAGATGGTGAACGCACCACTCCCTCCCCCGGAGGAGGGCCGGGTGGAGAATCTTTTGTTTTGTTTGATGCCGATGGTACCCTAATTCTCAACAAAAGAGCAGTTTTCACTATCTCTGGGTCTCAAGAGGGCACAGAGAGTTGCGGGACGGTTCAACCCCGGACCACACTCATCCTCCTCTGTCGCCAGCAGGCAGCAGTGGGCGGTTCGAGAGTGCCAACAAAGGCCCTACTCACGCACCCTCTGCCAAACTGTGGAACCAGGTAAGTGCTGCACCGCACACTCAGACCCCTCTTCGGTCTGCTCACAAGCTGTCCAAGTTGGGTCCCTGCGTTCCACCTCGCTGCCCCACCGCGGGTACGGCGGTGGTTCCGTTGGTCCCGCTTGCACGGTATCTGGGTACCTGGCTAGCGCTACCCAGCCCGTCTCGCTGGCTTCTGCGGACCATCAGCCTCGGCTATGCGATTCAGTTCGCCCTGCGTCTACCCAAGTTCAGTGGCATCTGCTTCACGACAGTGAGGGCGGCCGATGCTCCTGTCTTACATGCGGAGATCGCAGTCCAACTGGCGACGGATGCGATAGAGCCGGTCTCTCCAGCCGATATGAATACGAGGTTTTACAGCCCCTACTTCATTGTACCCAAGAAAGGTGGTGGGTTACGACCAATCTTGGATCTGCATGTCTTGAACCGGGACCTTCGCCGCAGAAACGCGTCTTCGAGTGCATCCGTCCCCGAGATTGGTTTGCAGCAATCGACCTGAAGGA